TACCCGCCTTGGGCCGCCGTGCTGGGCGCGGGCGCCTGCCTTCCCGGGCCTGGAGAGCGCGTCCTCGTGCCTCGTGCTGGAGCGCTACTCCGGAGAGCTGGGCAGCTGGGCTGATACTGCGAACGGACTGGGAGGGGGACACAGGCGTCACTCTTGAGTGAGTGTTCCCCTCACTCCCCTCCCCTTGGTATTTCCTTACCCAAATCCAAGTTTTTGTGTCGGATGGTGGTTCTTGGGAATCTATTGAAAAGAAAATTAACGACTGGAAAGGAATTAAAATGAACCTTCAGTGTTTGGCTCTTGGTGTCTGTGCTACTTTCTGACCTGTGTCCGCACCATAAGGGGTACTAGAGATGTGGGATGGGACAATCATGGATGTATTTCCCAGTTCCATGTAGATGTTTCTGCATATGAAGCAACATTCTTAACTTTCTAGGGACATGACTTCACTTTTAGAACATTCCTGTATCTATAAAAGTCAGCTATTGGGCTGGGATCGTGGCTCAGTGGTAGAGCGCTTGCCTAACATGTGTGAGGCACTGGGTTCCATTCTCAGAACTGCATATAAATAAAAGAATAAAATAAAGGACCATCAACACTTAGAAAGGGTCAGCTGTTGTAACGAGGCCGTAATGTATTTCTTAATAAACCTTGGTGAGGTTGTCTTTTCTGTTTCTTGTGGGTAGATTTTCTATTATACATAGTGGGATATAATCTCATTTTTCTTAGTGGACATGTTGCAGAATCATATTGGTCGTGTAGTCACATATATACATATAGTAATAATGTCTGTTTTATTCTACTATCTTTCCTATCCCCACATCTTACAATGATTTTAATTCACTATAATCTTGGCAGTCACCTCTAAATGATTTTTCCAAACATAACTCAATACCTTGAAACTGTGCGTGCTCTGGTGCCAATCTCATCCAGCCTCTGCACTTCCCTTTTCCCTCCTGCCTTGGCGGGCCTAAATTCTCTTTGGGGAATTGGCAGGAGGTCCTTTCCTGGCCTGGCAGGCAGTAAGGCAACTAGGAGCTCGGAAATTGCCATATCTCCACTCCACCTGCGGTTTAACTCTGGCGTGTGGAGAAGAATTTTGTTGTTGTTGTAGCTTTCTTAGAAGAAGAATTTTGAGCACGCTCATTTAGATGAATTTACCCATACTGATTTCAGTAAACTTGAAAACTTTGTTGAAGACGTTCTACTGAAACAATTTTTAGGTGTTTCTGAACTATTTAAACTTAGTTCTTAAAAACCTGGTAAATTTTTTTTTTTTTATTTTTAAGCCTGTTCAGACTACATATTTGAAGTCTGTTTTAAAGTTATTCACACTTGGTGAAACTGTTCACCTAAAGCCAAATTTTAGCTTCACAGAATTAGATTTCCTTAAAAAAAAAAAAAAAAAAAGTTTTGTAAACTGGGACTGGTGGCGCATGCCTGTAATCCCAATACCTCTGGAGGCTAAAGCAGGAGGATCACAAATCCAAAGTCTGCCTCAGCAACTTAGCAAGGTCCTAAGCAGCTCAGCTAGACCCTGTCTCTAAATAAAATATTTTTAAAGACAGCTGGGGATGTGGCTCAGTGATTAAGTGCCCCTGGGTTCAATCCCCGGTACTTCCCCCACCCCCCCAAAAAAAGGTTGCTGCATGTTGGTATACTTTACTTTGGTCTTTTTTTTTTTTTTTTGTACTCAACATACATGCATGTAATTTTTTCTTGCCCACAGCACCCCAAGGTGTTTGTTAAAACTGCAAAAGGTAAGATAATGCCTACTCTCAGACCTTACAATCTAGGGTATCAGCAAAAGATTCACAATAAGTTTTGTTTGTTTGTTTTTATGTGTCTTAAAAATCTCAACTCTTCATGAAACTTGAGGAAAGTTCAGGGTGATGTTTCTGAGGGGAGCAAAGGTGACAGCCAAGTGCATTACTTTCTAATCTAATGCAGGACAAGAATTTTGAGAACTTAGATGAAAGAGTGTCTACCACATCCCTTGACCAATCTTTTTCAAACCACTCCTCTCACCTGTCTCTTGACAAGGTTTGAACATCACATGGGTCATGAAAGGGGATTGTGATGAGATCTCAAGTCCATATCTTTGTGCTTCGATGGAAAAGACAACCTTCATGCCATGCCTAGGGGCACACACCTGCATCCCAGCCTCTTGGGAGACTGAAGCCAGAGGGTTGCAAATTTGAGGCCAGTTTCAGAAACTTAACACAAAATAAAAAGTGAAAAGGGTTGGGGATGCAGCTCAACATACTAGGTTCAATTCCTAGTCCTAAAGAGAGAGAGAGAGAGAAAGCCTTCATATTCAATATAGCTTGGTGGAAAATTAAAGAGACAGACATTTGTTTGTTTAGACCCTATCTCTTTCCACAAAAGACTTGTGAGATGTAATTCAGTATAATATCAATCAATAAATAAGCACATAAATAAAAGACTGGCTTTTATTCTCATCCTGCTAGGAATCTTTGCAGAGGTGGGCTGAAATAACACATATTCCCCAGGAGGTATGACTGTTCTGATTTTTGTATTAAATTAAAACCCCAAAGTTCTGGGCCATAGAGCAGAACTAGCAAGCCTTTCCCACTTCATGCCAAATATAGCCAGTAGTGAAGTTTGTGTGACCCACTCAGATGAGATATGCTAACTAGGGACTAAAAGGTTCAGTATTTCAGTATCTCTGTAACATCTCCACTACAAATATGTCAGTGTGCCCTGACATTTCCACTGGGAAACTTGAATGTAATATAGCACAGACAACAAGTTTGCCCTACAAAATGCGAAGGTCAGGGATTACCAGCTATCCTCTTTGACCTTAAAGAATTTCTCTGTAATTCTTATCATTCTGTTAGAGTGAGATCTTAGTTTGCATTCAGGTCAGCAAATATATTTACTGGGTATTTACCATGAATCAGTCACTTAGTTAACCCCTGGAATGTAAAGGTACAAGTTCATGGTATAATCTGCCTGGAGTAACTCTGTATCCTCTTAAACCAGCCAAGATTGATGAATTACACAGTATGCTATGTGGCTGAATATTTTGGTCTCTGATATTTAATATTGGCCCTTTATTACATGTTTGACTGTCTTCTATTTTAGTGTTCTGGGTGTTGAGAATTATCCATTTGTTATGGACCATAAGAGAAAGATACTGATGCTTAAAAACTGAATCTCATTGTCTGGATGAAATCTGAGACATTGCCCTATATTACATTTTGTTCATCATTGTTTCTGCCATGACTAGTGTAGAGAAGATGCTTGGTGAATATTAACTGAATTGATAAAGAATGAGTGAGTGGGGCTGGGGATATGGCTCAAGCGGTAGCGCGCTCGTGCCTGGCAAGCATGCAGTCCAGGTTCGATCCTCAGCACCACATACAAACAAAGATGTTGTGTCCGCCGAAAAACTAAAAAATAAATATTAAAAAATTCTCTCTCTTTAAAAAAAAGAAGAATGAGTGAGTGATTTATTGAATGTAGCAATTCTGGTGCCTTCTGGTGTATGCAGTATTATTGAGTTTTGAAGAAGATGAAAGTGGTCCAAAGCTTATGCCAACGTCACCCTTAGTGAGTGGGAATTGTGACATTCTTCCCATTTTTCTTACCAACAGAGCCCAAATTTTTGTTCTGGATAATGGTACTCTCAATTAAGTCACACAATCACCCCATCTCTCCTGCTGAGAGCATATGACACAATTCTATCCAATAGGCTCTAAGTAGAGAGCCCTGGGGGAATCTTCTGGAAAGACTATATATTTTTTTCTTTGTGATGCTGGGAATAGAACTGAAACTGGAACCCAGAGCCTCACATCTGCTGGGCAAACTCTGTATCACTGAGCTATACCCTCAACCCTAGTCAGACTTTTAATAGAGCCAGACTCAGCTGTGATTTTGCCCCTTGTACTTTTCCTTTGTTCCCGCCTGGGTGGGTCACAGACTTTGCTGTTAGAATTATAGCAGCCATCTTGCAACCATGAGGTTGAATTTCACAGTTGAAGTTGGTGGTTCAGAAAGATAGATAGAATCTAGATTATTTATTTATTTAAAAATATTTTTTAGTTATAGATGGATGCAATATCTTTATTTTGTTTATTTATTTTTATGTGGTGCTAAGGATCGAACCCAGTACTTGAAGCAAGTGCTCTGCCACTGAGCCCAACCCCAGCCCTAGATTATTTATGACACTGTTAAACAGCTGCCCAGCTCCGGCCTGTCTTTATCTAGACTTATTTTATGTGAAAAAACAAACAAACAAACAAATTTCTTTATGGCCTGATAGTGGTAGTGTCTTTCTTTCATTACCTATAGCCTAGTTAAACATTAACTGAT